TGTGATTGATCAGTGATGGTGTGATTGATCAGTGATGATATGATTGATCAGATATCTTACCTGAAGTGCTGAACCTGACAGAACTTGTACACCTGTTTGAGCTCACTGAGACTGAACGCCTCAGAAACCTGTCAGCCAATCAGAAGTGAGACTGTGGTCAGGTGACTTCACAGTGAAACCTACACCTGTTTGATCTGTGACATCGGTAAATAATGAAGCTCTGATCTGATCAGGGTTTTTTTAAATCTGCAGTTTTGCTTTTATTCTGTGTGGAGGTTAAATCTCTTTCAAAACCAAAGCTTTTGATCTCACCAGCTTTTGGATGTCGAAAGCCAGAGATTTGAACTGCAGGCTGCTGGAGTTCTTCAGCTCTTCAGAGAACTCAGCTCCCTGTTTGATCACCATCTGACCCGTCAGCTGCACCGGTTCAACGGCACCTCGGCACATCAACAACAACGTAATCAATATCAGACCTGATGCCATCGATCAGCTGGTTGACACCAGACTGTGAGTCTACCTTCGGGCTTCAGGGAGAGATACGAGATGACAATCAGTCCAACACAACAGATGAGAAGAAGCGTTGCGACAACGCTGAGGAGAACCTCCAGAGACGACAGCCGCCGAGTCATCCTGAGAGCTGCATGATCAATACCGATCGATGGAAATCAGTTACAGCTGATCAGTAAAATAATCTGTTCTAACATAGAGAGTCTTCAGCTGGTTGTATGAAGTCTGAATGTTTCTACCTGTCAGGTTCCCTGCTGCAGATCAGCTGCTCTTCAATTTCTTTTTCTTCTCTTTGTTCCTCTTGTTCACTTGATAATCTGACGTTTCAGGATCAGAAGCACAGCGACTGCCTGTCCTGTTGGACTCTGAGTCTGATCTGTGATCAGCTGTTATTGAGCTGCAAATGACAAATGACTAATAATCAACACAGCAGCTGATAATCAACACAGCAGCTGATAATAAGGATGTTTGTACTGCTGGAACAAGGAGCAGAGATATTCTGCTGCTGACTGTTCAGATTATTATTTAGCATCTCCACATCACAAACAAACTGTGAATCGCATGTCTTCATAAGAATGTTTACATGTTTACATGAATGTTTACGTGTTTCTAAGAATGTTTACAT